AATATGTACTATTAATTTCCTTAGACATGGTGCTCTTTCTGTTTCCTTGTACAACTTCAGACTTTGATGTTGACCCAAATTGAGATTTAGGTGACAAATACTTCTGAATACAGCCAGTGTTTTTTTGACGGTTCTGCCTTTTCTTTTGTGCCTTGATTGTGACCGAATCAGATCTTCTGGAATTCAAGGGAGAAGCCAAGATATTTCTCTCACAGAAATTGTTACTATTAACCCTAAGTTTTCCTGCCAGTTCTTCATTACTTTTCAGTTGTTCTTCCATCTCTCTTTGCCTTTTTTCTGCTGGTCTTTTTTCCTTTTCTTCCTTCTCTGCCAATAATCTCTGTATATATTCTTCACTGGCTTTGTTTTCTGCTTCCTGCGTAGCTCGTTGCTCTGTCTCCATCTTCCTTATCTCCTCTTCATATTCCTTTCGTAATTCACCAGGCATACTTAACAGACGAACTGGCTGATGGTCATCAACGATTTCCACTGATTCTTGTCCAGAGGCTCTAAGCTCGCATTCTTTTGGGTAGTACTTTTGAATTATTTCCCACAGTTCCATATTGACAAGAGAATTTTTTCGGGTATGATACCGGGCCCACGAAGAGATCCACCGGCGGCAGAATGGGCAGCATAAATTTGCCTTTTCAATAATCGACTGGAGGCACGGCTTACAGATCGTGTGGTTACAAGGAAAAGTTACAGGTTCAATTAGGATTTCTAGACAAATCTGGCATTGGCATTCCGACAAGGAAGGGATGGCGTCTTTAGGTACAGCCATTTTCCTATGCTAAGTGGGCTATTCAGTATCAATACATGAACGAAATGCAATCGTTACTTTCGGCCCAACTTTAAAGTAAATAGTATTTTGTGCTTTGACTAGTATTCCCAGCGGCGTACCGGAATTCAGAGATGAGGAGCACCAAACGTCTTCTGGAAAAAGTGGCTTCGTGAGAGTTAGATAAACAGTAATACGCTGGACAGCGATGTATCAGTCCAATTTTAAGACCACAAATGTGGAGTAAGAAAATAAAAGAATCTTTTCACCGTGGCCGCAGGAGAGACGGTGGGCTCTGGTTCCCCGGGCGGCAGGAGGTACGCACCAAATTATCCGTCCCCGTCTTACTAGGCGAGGGTGCTCCTTCTTAGCTCCGGGGATCCCAGCGCGAAGCCGCCCAGGCGCGAACCTCTACCCAGTCACTGCTCTGAGACCAGTTTCCGCCCGGACGCGGGGCTCCGGCAGGAGCTGCACTTCGGTTTTACCGTCGCTATGGTGGCAACGCGCGAGTTCCAGAGTTCCGGCTTTCGAACTCTTCGCGCCATTTCCGGGCGCCGCTTTTCCTTTGTAAACCTCT